AAACCGGTCATTGGGTGGAGACTGTACTTTTGCTACTTACTTATTTAAGTAAGTAGTAGCAGTTATGATTAGTAGTAGCAGTTATGATTAGTTTTAAATCCATTGGAGTTGTGTAAAGAGGCACAAAAGTGCGTACAAAACTGCACCGTTTTGTACCTTAATTTATTATTATTATTATTATTAATTTATATGCATACAGACAAAAAATCAACCTGTGCTTTACACAGTGTTATCACGGCTTTATCTTCAGACAAACAGTCAAACATGTATTATATACGTATTATGTTTTAGGGGCATCTTGTTTTAGTCATTTTAGAATTCTGCTGTATTTTTGAAATACAATATCTTAAAAAGCGTCACTCAGACTGTCTTTAGGGGTAGTAATACATGGACAATTAAATAATCAAACATGTACATATGCTCAGCTGTATGCTTACACATCTGTACTAAAAACATCTATTGTTGTGGCTTAAACCTCTATAGCCCTAGCCCTATTTTTAGGCCTCTGCTCGAAAATTACATCCCCATACTCAAGAGAGTCCTCAGCTCTAGCTACAAAGTCTATTTTAATAATTTTTATGCTAGAATACTGGTAATACTTGTGAGATGTGTTAAATTGTGTAAATATTGTGTATATGTTACTGGTTAATAACTGATGTGACTTATGGCACAGCTCAAATTGAAAAAGTTCCAGGTTCGCCTGAAAAAAAGCACTTGTATTGAACTTTTTTTTTTTAAATAATGCCTGGCTTGGCCTAAAACCACGCCACAGTCATAGAACAACACGTTTTACATGTCCCCACAACATATTTTACTTCGATTGAGTGAAGCAGGCCAGCATAAATGGTCATAAAAATCAAAACTTTGATTTTCGGAACCAGCTGTTGCATTGCTGTATACTCATTTTATATACTATATAACTACATATTAACTATATATTCACTTTTCTTATCACTAAGAGTGTTCAATAATCCTAATAAAGCAGTTTGACACCATTTGGAATAATTTTGAGCAGTTATGATATGTCATATCTGTCAATCATAAACATAAATGGCTCATAATGTGTGTATGTGACCCTGGTATGGCCTGTGCTTGGCCGATTTATTCATGAAACACCTTTTTAGACGCGGGATAGTCCAACGGGAGCCATGCGGGGGTGTTTGAGAATCTCCCTGTCTGTTTACTGACTAAAAATCACAAAATGCTGGGCGAACACCCCTCTCTACATGGATTGGTCCGCCTCACAGAATCGGGTGCCATTTTGTCATTCATTCTGCCAGCGCATTGATACCAGTCACAAACACGCAGCACAACATGGCCGGCAGATCTGTGCGGAAATCGGCTGGAATAAATCCGTTTTTCACCGTCAAAACGTAAGTTTTGTTTTTTTGTTTTTTTTGTTTTTTTTACCCAATTTTTTTTCTCGTGACCTGTCGCTGATGTTGGCATGTATACCCATAACTTTTGAACGGTTTGAAAGGGAGTAATTTCGACGACGCTGCTCGTCTCCGGGTCGAATCACGCCCCTCCTGCATGTGTTCATCCGCCATGTGCGATCCTGCTCCGTGATGAGAGAGCCATAGAGTGAGCATATGTCGTCGATTTTTGGCCAAAATTGTGGCAAATCTTCTAGATATCTTCCAGATATGATATTAGTTCATGTATAATTGTGTTTGCAGTGTTTACAATGGCTGGTATGATGATGTTGCTCGGACTTTTCCCGTTAATTCGATATTTAATATGTCTGGAGCATTTTTGATATTTCTTAATAAAAAGTCCATTCGGAACCACGGTACCACTCTAAACGGTCTCGCTCTGAGCCCAAATGGTCTCCGCTCGGGCTAAAGAGGTTTATAAGTAAAACTGCAGCATAATATTTGGAGATTAGTATGTTAGTTACTTCAAAGATAAATTAATCTATCTTGATTCTTTGATGTGAAGCATTTTGTGTTTATGCATGAATGCTATACAAATAAACTATCATTGTTTGGCTACAGAATGTGGCCATAGTACACAATCATTTCAACCGGACATTTAGTTTGGGTAAGGTGGGAATGAAACCACCTCATTTTGGAAGGGCTTCTGGTCATGGAAATATCTTCTACAGCTATCCTCGCTGGCCTCCCTTTGTTAGTTTTCTAGTAATGTACATTCAAGTAGAGATGAAACCCTTTAAGATCACGTCCCCCGGTAATATTGCACTGTATCAGTTTTACTGCCTTTGTGCCACAAAGCCACACTGAATTAATTAAAGCCGGATTCATGAGACAATTGAAAATGAGAAAGTGTTTTTACCTGAAAAGTAATTTACATGCTCCACCGACTGTAGCCTTTACACAAAGGTTAGTTTGTTAGTGATGAAGAAAATCAGTGGCATTTCTAAGAAGAAAAAAAAAATGGTAGGGCACAGCTAATTTATACAGATGCAAAACCAGTCAACTCCACATTTTGACACAATGTACTGTGTCACATTTTACTCTGGTGATAATCCGACTGGGCACATACCTGTTCTCCTTGTTATACTGCTGCTCAGTTCCCATTTGCAGGTTTGTATGCTGTGTCAATTTGGGTAGCCATGTGAGCTCTGCTGAGCGTGTCCTGCATCTTTTATGTTTGATAATCCTCTTAGAAAAGGATTGAGATCTTCTTCCCCCTGGAGAACCGCTCCACATTAAATGTGATAGTATTATTAGTATCATTATTTTACCAGCAGTTTGGTTTCTAACAACATCCAGCTGCTGGTGGGCACCCAGGTGTTCATTAAGACTTAAATTTGTGATGTAGAAGATAATCCATCTGGCGACCACAGTATAAATACTGAGGACAACAGGACTTGGCAAATAACCAGTAAACGACAACAGCAGGCCTACTTGGCAAATAACCAAACTGCAGCTGGTCAGCAGTTAATCATGAGGCTATGTCCATACTACTTCCTACCCGTCAGTCCAGGGTAGGAAATTTACATATTTTTTAGGGGGCAATTTTTGCCCCCACTGACTGAAATCCAGGGGCATTTAAAAAAAATTGGGGGCACTTTTTGAATCTTGTGAAATAACATTTAACCTTTTTGTTTTTTGAACAAAAAACAAACAAAACATAAATCAGACAATCATATTCAATTTTATTCTTATTTCTTTGTGGTTATTTATTGTTATTACATTTTTTTAAACAACTATTAACAATTATTAAGTCAATGATGCCTTGATTACATATACATCAGTCATTGTACGGAATTATTGAGAAAAATATTTTTGTAGCACCTCAAATATTTAAAAAATGTGCCATTTGAAGGTACAAATTCAGTTTAGAGTTTTTACTTAGTAAAATATCTTAATTGACTGTCGGTATTATTCATTTCCAGCAACCCTCAAATCAAAGAATAGACACTTTACGCACAATTTAGGTGTATTTTCCCTTTAACTCACGAGATGCAGGTAGCATGTTTTATACTTAATGTGAATATAATTCATACTTTGTTGGCATCTTATTCTGAAAACCGGATGTTCGTCTGAAGAAACCGGATGTTGGCTCACGTTAATCTTTCAGCTAACTTTCAAAGTCCTTCGCTCGCTCCCGATCTGTGCCGTTTGAATGAGTTTACCGTGAATTTCAGCATATAGGTGCACTAAAATGTAAGTGTCTGCTGAGTTGACCGCAGTCACAGGTCTGATTAAGAAGCGCTCCATTTATTTATTCGTTTAGAAAGTTCGGTTCTTCACGCACACGCAACATCAGTCAAGGCGAAAATCAAAACCATTCTATGGCAACTGGACCGGGTCATATAGGCTACGATGTTTTTGACAAGTTCATTAAATTATCATTATTATTAGAGGAAATTATGGGGACATTCTTTGCCCCTCCTAGAGATATCAGGGGCAAAATTATATTTTTAGGGGCAGTTTTGCCCTTTGCCCTCGTATTTCCGACGCTGAATCAGTCCCACGTGGTATCGAATTTGAGACGTCCCATTTCATTGCCTAGGCATGCGTTTTGTTGTTTTCCCAGACTCGGGGCACGTGACATTGCGTGAAACTCATGTTGAGGGTAGATCTAAATAACCATTTTAAGACTATTATATCCAGCCACTGACCTTAAATTGCAATGCAATACTAAAATCACTTCAAGGGAGAGTTAACACCAATCAAGTGAGACAGTTTGTTGTAGCAACTGCATTTTTAATAGTTGTAAGATATAAAAATCTTCATCTTTATCATACAATAACATGTTGACATAAATTTTGTCAAAGGAGGGATAATTTTGCCACCAAACAAGAATTATAATAGAACCTTTTGAGGTAAGACAGCTGGTTCATAGATTATTTAGCCACACAGGTCTTCCCCTGCACACATGTACAGGCTGTTTGGTTTGTCCATCACGTGTCATCTATGCAAGACATTCTGCCTCACCTGTAGGCCCAGGCACCGAGCTGAAAGCAGGACCTAGCATGTGAAGTTACTTACACGGAGACACATTTACTCTTATTTAGCATGTCTCAAATTGAGGATCAATAAAATGAAACATGTTATATAATCAACAGAATTCAAATATAATGCATGAGAGTTGCAAGAGTTAAACACGAGACTGCTGAAGGTCTGTGTGATAATAGCAACCAGTGATTTGACCGTTTTTAAGGGTAAGAAGAGAGGCTGTGCTTTGTCCTTTACATCCCAAAACAGAAGGAGAGACCTGTACGGCTTTAAGTCCACAGACTGAAGTGCTCAGTGTGTCTTTCACTATTTTGATCACCACTTTCTTTGGACAAAAAGAAAAAGAACAAAACAATCAACAACAAAAGCAGCCAACACAGGAAACAACATTCAATATGCATTACCCAAGAAACACAAAGAAAATAATAAAAATGAAAAACAAAAAAAAAGCAAATATAGAATTTTAACATGCCACATTGTTCCCTGGGCACATTTTCTTTCACAGAAAGCCACCTATTTTACTAGTTTTGTAGTAATAAAAATAATAGACATCTCAAATGGTTGCCAGCAGGTTGACCAAGCAGAGAAAAGGGAGCAGAGAGAAACAAGGAAGCCACATGACATCATCACATCACCGGACCATGCACATGATCCCTGCAGGATCCTGCAAGACAGCACACACACACACACTCTGTAAAACAAAATACAAGCATAGATTGACATTAACCAAAACATCAGCATTTGACATTTCCCAGGATCCACGTATCCTGGCTGTACCAAAGCCAAAGAGGCATTTATGGCAGAAATGTTTAATATTCATGTTAATAATGCTCTTTCCAAAACATTTAACAGCAGTTGGACAGTACTGTGGTGAGTGCTGTTGGCACAGGTTGATTTGGCAGCACACCCGCTAATATAAAGCTCATTAACTTTACAAAAAGAACAGGATGACGGACAACAAAACAGGCGGACAGACAGGCGTGCAGCAAGCCGGATGACGACCAATCACAGCAATGATGAGGAGAGAAAACTTTCATTGTCACAATTGAAAAATTATGGCTGCATCGACTCTGTGGCAAGTCATGCACAAACACACACTCACACACAGCGCTAATACATTTGCCAAAAACCTTTTTTTTTTTTTTTTTTGGCGCCCTCATCGCCCCCATCTATCTTCACGATCTTTTGCCAGTCCACAGAGACTGTCTTACAGCAGCTGATGAGCCCAAAAGAGGATGATCGCCATAGCAGGACAACTGATTTCACAAGATGGGGGCAGGACCACAGTCAGTGTTCCTTGGCTGGTAGAGGCGGGCGGACACTTGAGTCCTCGTGCAAGCTGACTGGGTGGTTGGTTGGTTTTGCTCAGTCTCCAGTGAGCCGATTGGTTGTTTTGAGTCTCTACAGGGAGGTGGAGGGAAGCTTCTTGACGCGCCTCTGAGCTAGGAAGGAGCTCTCGATGGGCTTGAGCTCTGGAGTTGGTTGGGACTTCTTCAGGGCAGAGTAGGTGGCTGCCATCGCACCCTGTACATAAACAGCAGCATGGTGATTGCAGCCCAAATGATTAAACTATCCAAATTGTGGGCATAAAAAAAAACAAAAGCAATTCAGCGGCAATTAGAGAAATTTTAAGATCTGTCACCTTGACCAGTTTGGGGTCCTGGTGTGGGAGCTGGCTGTTAGGTAGCTTGTCTCTCTGGACAATCCAGGGATGTTTGAGGACCTGCTTAGCAGTCAGTCTCTGATGGGGGTCCACATGAAGCATCTTGGAAACAAGGTCCTAGAGGGAGCACACATTAAAATATGAAATTGTGACAGAAGTAGACTGGAGTCATCTCTGAGGAACATGAGCAACGGAGCCGTCAGTGAGATTTGTAGCTCTACCTTGGCAGCCTCAGACACAGTGTCCCAGTTGCCTCCAGTCAGACTGAAGTGACCGTTGCCTATCCTGTTCAGGATCTCATTTGGGGTGTCCTCAGGTCCGTTGGCAAATGGAGTAAAACTGGTGGAAGAAAAGGAGACAGATGACGGAGTGACTTAGAAGTACAGTGAGGGAAAAACAATCTGTTTCAAGAAAAAGGTGTTGCTATTCACCCAGCCAGCATGGTGTACAGTAAGACTCCCAGACTCCAGATGTCACATCCTTCATCATAGCCCTGACGCTTCAACACCTTCAATGACATTTCATTTCACCGTTTAACACCGTAAAGCTTCAATTCAACATCATTCAAGGCACGACACTGAAAAGTGACTCTGCTCACCTCAGGAGCTACAAAGTTAGCAGTGTAGCACGGGGTCATCAGCAGGCCGTTGTTGGCACGCAATTGCTTCGCGAAGCCAAAGTCACAGATCCTGATAGACTCTGGGTTCCCCGACTCGTCAACATAGAGGATGTTGCTGGGCTTCAGGTCTCTGTGCACCACCTGGAGCGAAACAGGAGGGAGTGATAAAGATAATACAGATAACTGAGGCACAACAAAGCAAAGCAACAGAAAAGTGAATACTGTATGATAAGATATTCATAAGGCTCATTGGGTTGTGATTTTAATATCCGAGAACAGTAAAGTTCTCAGATATTTTTAAAAAGGGGAAGATTAAGCTGATTGTCATGCAGCGGTTTGGTCTCCAGAAGACACGATTCATATTTCTATTTGTCCTCACCCCCTGTGAGTGCAGGTACTCTGCGGTCTTGGTGATGGTGTGAAGCACAGCGCTGGCCTCTCTCTCGGAAAAGAACTTCTGTTTAAGGATCCGATCCAGCAGCTCTCCTCCACGCATCAGCTCTGTCACCATGAACACCTGCTTGCCATTGTCATACACCTGAGACAGAACGACACACATTATCTTAACACTCACTGTGACACTTGGCACACTTAACGCACCACGGCAATTAACAGTGTGATACGCGTGCATGCTTTTATACTCACATCCTTCAGCGTTATGATGTTTGGGTGCTGTCCATATCGAAGTAGGATCTCAATCTCCTCAGAGGGGTCTGTACTGGTCTTTTCTATCATCTGTCGTCACAATATAATAATGATATTACAGTTATACATATTAAGATACAGCCGACATTGTTGTGCGTTTTCACAGGATTCTTTTTTGTAATGTGTGTGTGTGTTTGTTTGTTCGTGCCTTGACAGCGTATTCTGTGTTGGTGGCTTTGTGGACACATCGTTTACAGACAGAGAAGGAGCCCATGCCGATGTCTTCTTTCAATATGTAGCCGTCGCTGAACAGCAGATTCTTCCCGTGTAATTGCTGCAGAGGAAGAAGAACGTGGTAAGTAAAGGTCTGGGAACTGACAGAGCTGAGTAGGTAGAAACGTGTCCAATACTGGTTGAAATGCCATTTTATTCCTTTCTTCTCCATGTGCCTTACACACCGTGCACATTTGTATCCCCCCCCCCTCTCTTTCTTTAGATAGCTGTAGTTTGTGTATTCAGTAACAAATCTAACTCAGTAAAAGTAAGCAAATCTATTGATCTTTCAAAACTTGTCTTGAACTGGATCTCACTCCAGTCAGAGTAAATGAAGAAGAAAAACACAGTGAAGCAACTACTTGTTCTGACCTGGACCACTGGGTGTGGCGGTGGCTTGACTGACTCCACTGAACCTTCCTCCTCCAACAGAGTCGATGCAATAAAGCTGAAGCCTCTGAAGAGCTGGTGAGCTCCGGCACTGGGGGGCACGCCAGGGGAGTCTAGAAGATAATGAGGAAGTCTAGTATTGTCTTGGAAGTGATGTTATGTTATATTTTTAAGTGTTCTTGCATCTTAATTGTGGTGTTAATCTGCTGATAATTGGGTCTCTTTTAACTATCCTGTATTGATTTTTTTTTTTAAGCAGAGGCCGGAAAAAATACAATGATCCCACTGAAGTGCTTTCAGGAAGGAAATAGACATGAAGCTAATAGCTATTAGCTAGCATTCAGCTTTGATCTCTGACCTTTCGGGGTGCGGGAGGTGAACTCGGAGTCAAAGTAGAAGGTGTCGTCCGGACGCGCCACCGCCGGTTTGAACGGAGGTTTTAATTCTCTTCTGAAGAGTTTCTAAAAGGAATAAAGGATTTTTTTTAATCACACCATATAGTGGAAGAATTTCCTCCCACAAATATTGATCAATATTCAAAATAAAATTCCCATGAGTGTATTTTATACTGTGCAAGTATTAACATAACCTTGACCGTCACTCACATTCCAGTCTATGGTGGAGAAGAATCCATGTCGTTTGATCTCCTCTGCACCATCTGCACTCGCTGCTGTAAAGAAACATCTCGAAATCTCAACCAATGACACATATGTGATGAAACAGAGCTAAAGTGCATAGGTTGCTGTTTGTGTATCATGAATTGATACTAACCCAGTCTGTTGGTAGGGTTCCTCTTGAACAAAGCCCTGAGCAGAGACTGGGCCTCTGAACTCAGGAACTGAGGCATTCCCAGACGCGCCCTACGGGGAGAGACAGACGGCAGGCAGCACAAATCATTTCACCAGATATCAAGAGAGGCATTTTCAATAGCGACAGTGTGTGACAACTGGCTTCTGTGTTGGATTGTTCTTCCACCTTTGAGTAAACTCACTTCAGAATCAGGCTCATAGTTTCTTTGCGGTCCTTCCCTTGAAATGGCAGCGATCCAGTCAACATCTCAAACTGGGACACAGAACATGCAACGGTTATCTACATTCCCATGAATACATGAGTGCATAGACCATATATTTTAAAAGTGCTCAGTATAATATAGAAACTAAATCAGTCGCTTTATTCTTAGTAAAATGTTCCTGCTTACCATTAGTACTCCAAACGACCACCAGTCGGCGCTGTGGTCGTGTCCCTGCCTGTTCACAACCTCTGGTGCCATGTACTCAACGGTACCACAGAAGGAATACGCTTTCTTCTCATGATCGATGGCTTCTTTACACAAGCCAAAATCTGGAAAAACACACCACAAGACAAAGTCAGCTCATCCCTACACAGTATCAAAGTATAGTTACAAATGTCACTTATTTTACATTTTTTAATAAGTGTCAATATACTGACATTAATAAAAAATAATAAACACTATTTTACAGCACGTTCTTTGTCAGCATTTGTCCCTCAGTGAGACTTGTTATAATTGCCTCTCTATAATCTGCTACGGTCACCTTTGGTTCAATGGCGGCACGACCCGGGAGTAAATAAAGGGCGGTGATTATGGATGACGATAGAGGTGGATAGAGAAGATAAAAATGTAATAATTAACTTAGGTAACAAGTACAGGGCCATATGCAGATATCTGGAGTCAGCAAGATAAGGCTGTCACCCCCCCTGTGACTAATGAAGGTCAAGGAGAGGAAAGTGTGTGTGTGTGTGTGTGTGCGCGTGTGCGACAGAGAGACTGGGTGTGAAGGAAGGAGCTGGAGAATCACCTGTGAGTTTGATATGTCCCTCCTCATCCAGGAGAATGCTAAAGGAAAACATAGTGAGATGTTGAATAGTTAACGTATTTGAAGGTGTGAACAATCAATCCTTAAGACATCACACACTGCTCATTCTGCTAGTGATATAATAATAACCGTGACAACATAAGATCAGTAGCAGCACTGTATGGCATATGCACACCACACCACTTTACGAATATAAAATTGTGCCACTTTTTTAGGATTTGCCTTACTGATGGCCAGCGCAGTGCAAGAATGTTTAAGTGAGATGTCAGTGATGATGTTGTCAGGCACAGGGGTCTGGCATACATCCAGATGGTTTGGGGTCCAATAGGCATGGTTCATGCAATATGCATTTGTCTATATACGTATGTTTCTGTGCATTCAGAATGTCCATTTGCTCTTACTTTTCAGGTTTGAGGTCCCTGTAAATGATGCCCAGGCTATGGAGGTGGTCCAGCCCTAATGCCAGCTCTGCTAGATAAAACTTTACATCCTCCTCTGTGAACATCACCTGGAAGGCACGGGACACAGAAACAGGGTGAATGCATGCATAAAAGAGAGAGAACGGCATCACAAGAGAGAGACGATGGAGAAAAATGTGATACATTATCAATAATAAATGACTGGACTTTTTGGATCGTAGGCCGGTAAAACACCAAAAATCTGACATATCACTCTCACCTCTTTGGAGAGTCTGGTGAAGAGATCTCCTCCTCTGAGAAAGTCCAGGATCAAGTACAACTTCCCTTCAGTCTGGAATGCTACAATCACAAAGACAGTTTGAGGACAAACGACAACAACAAATCAGGAAACATGACTGAGGACAGTTTCTTGAATTTACAGCAATAAGACGGGAATGAATGCATTATGTTAAGTTTGGGAAGTAAAGTGAAATAAATACTCAAGCTGACTCACCATAGTGCAGTTTGACAACAAATGGGTGGTTGACATCTGCGAGGATGTCTCTCTCCATCTTGGTTCTCACACGGTCTCTCACTGAAGGACGAATAAGAGCACATAGTTAAGTGTGTATGTATAAAACTTTGATATTGAAAAGTAGGATGACAAAGCCCTCCAACAATTTTCCCTTTACTCACTGTGGTCTGGTAATGGCATGGCCGAATTAGGTTAAAAAGATTTGGTTTCTAGTTGGCTTCACAATAAAAGGATCAATACTTTGCTGAATTATAATTGAAGAGGCTGCCGGGGCCACGCAGTTTCAGAGTTTGGTGAGCAAAGTGAAACTGCACCACATCCGTTCGCGGGACCATGTGAACAAATCTCATGATCTGATGTTTATCAGGAGAATGAGACCACCTGTGCGCAAAAGTTAAAAAACAACTGCAAGCTGTGGTTGTCTTACTGTATGCAGTTCTCTATGATTTACAAGAAAAGATACACCCTTTTTTTTTTTTTTACGAAACTGAGGGTACTGTCACTTTAAAAACAAACAATGCAATCATCACAAAAGCCAACGAGAAAGCAGACAGACACACAATTAGCATGCAGACAACAATGGCGTAAGTAGTTGCAGCATGCAGTGAATGAAAAAAAGGGACATTGTATCAACATTGTTCATTAGAAAGCCTAACAGCAATAGGAGCAGGTTGCTCATGCTTCTCTTTATGAAGATACTGTGCAAAGGGTAGGGTTGGGTATCGTTTGGTTTTTTTTCCGATACCGGTGCCTAAACCGATACTTTTTTCTTCAAATTGAACAATATATTAACTGTTAAAGTATACTATAAATATAAATAAATACAAAACACTTGGCTTCAAACTACAGCTTCAAACTTTTTAACTTCAAACTATGAACAATATATTAACTGTTAACAGTTTACAGTATACTTAAATAAATATAGATAAACACACACACACACACACACACACACACACACACTACAGCTTCAAACTTCAGCAATTATTTTGCAGAAATATGAGCATATATGCCTTCTCTTGCAAAATACGACCTCTCCTGACTTATTTTATTTTATTTAACCAGTTGGTGGCGCTAATGCGCCAATTCGTCGTTTGCCAACCGCCACTACACCTCAAAGAAGAAGAAGAAGAAGGTTTCGCGTGCCTGTGCATGTTAGCGCTAAGTACCCGGATGTCGATAGAGGAAGTCAGTAGCCTGCCAGCCGTATGACAGATCTCGTCCTTTGTTTTTTTTAATAAATCATGGCCGAAGCTTCGCCAGAATGATGGAGGGGTTTGTTTCTAAGCGCGCACGGCTCGTCCGGTTGTAATAATACTATGAGTGAGGAGCGGAGGACCGATGCTATCGTTAGCATCGTTAGCTAACCTAGCACGGAGTCATCAGAGTAGTGTCAAAAAAAGTATTTCAATCGGCTCAGGCCCCGAAAGGAAGCACCGAAATCTGCGTTGCATTTCGGTCCGGTAGATACCGGTCGTATAGGAACCGGTACCACACCGGCACCGGTTTTCGGTACCCAACCCTAGCAAAGGGTGGTCGTCCCGTGACAGAAACCCTCCTCAGCCTCCCTCTGCCTTTCTGCTCTGTGATGATCTCCAGAGAATCTAGAGTCAGGCCAATAAGAGATCCCTCTTTCTTGATCAAATTGTTGATCCTGTTCCTATCCACAGCTGTAATGCTGTAATTCATATTTGGACAATAGACTAAACATTTCAGCACTAAATCAATACATATAATTCGAACATTCCCTCTACAAGAAGATGCCCTGCATCTGGTGGTGTGCTCTAGAACATGTTTACAACATTAACAGCTGGTCGGGACATTCAAACAGTTTTGGTTAAGATTACACTTTCTGAGAACAAAGCCAGCCTTTTATACCGTCCCACTGTGATGAAACCATTGAAGCACGTCACAGGCTCCTGTACCTTTGAGTGTGGCCTTCTTGAGGACCTTCATGGCATAGAGCTGATTGGCATCGGGGTCGGTCACCTTTCGCACCAGGAACACCTGCAATTGCATCAGATCAGGGATTGAGAGCGTGAGAGGGCAAAGACCAATGTCAGACAAAGGGAGCAGCAGAGGTAGCAGTTACCTTGCCAAAGGATCCTTGTCCCAACACTTTGAGCATTTCAAACTGAGAGGCGTCAGCCTTCTCCGAGCCCTCCTTGACCACGTGGGTGATGTTGATCTCCTTGATGTCTCCATTTTCCTGAAGAGTGCAAAATAGAGAGGGAAAAACACAATTAACCCAGTCAGTACTCTCAGAACAAATGGCTAAAACAAAGAGGATATGCGTGTTTGTAAGGATTGTGCGAAGGACGGTAAATGTCAGAGATTGTTTGATGTGCAAAAAGAGAAGTTCTTTCATAGGAGTTTCTTTTGCTGCCAAAAACAAAATATCAAAATAAAACACTCCAGAAAGAGGAAGCACAGTAGAAAGTGTGTAAGACTGAGCGATAGCACCCATAAGTCTGGTCAATGTGTGTTTAAAAAAAAGTAGTTTCTGGAAATGATGGTGACTGCAACATCACAAGCGACGCATTTTAAACAACGCAATGTAAAATGCCTCCAGTGGTTTGGTTTAGGACACAAGTTGCATAACCTCAAAAGACTTTTAAGAAGACTTCTCATGTTGTTTACAGGGTGGAGCACTGCCACTGCTCACAACCCTATCCCACACTGCTGACCTGGTGTCAACCTCACCCACAACACATCAACACCCTTCAGAAAAGCAACAACCGCATTAACAAGTCTTTTTCTCAGTTTCCTTCACTCATACTGTGGTTGGTGGGACAACATGATTTCTTTTATTTATTTATTTTACCTGTGCCCTGGAGGCTCACAGCCTTTAAAAGTGTATATTTCAAAACTTGGGACTAAAAAGTAGGACATCTTGCCTGTGCCAGTTTATCCCTTGAATTTGTCCTCTGCAGACACAAGATGCAACGCACACTTCTATCACGCATGCCAAATCAACAACACACCATAAACAGCCAACACCGCAGGCCACTTCAGGCTGGGGCTTTATCTGAAAACAGGAAACCAGAGTTGGTTGAACATGCAGTTTCTCAGCTGCACCTTGTTTCTAAACAACCACAGATAACAGCAAGCATCACTGGCGCTTTGCAGCGTTAATAAATCCCACTTCTGCTACTTCATTTAAAAATGACCGTGCTCAACGACAACACAACGCCACTAACAGCCCTCTGGAGACTATACTCAGAGTTTATCAAGATGCCAATATGAGGAGGTATCACTTTACCGTCCAGTGGTTCCTCGGCGCAGGTAAAGTGTCAGTGCTGTTGCCTGTTGATCTGCAGCCGTTACCGTCTGGAGGGCAAACAGCCAAGGCTTTGTCCTTTTTGAACAGGTAGAGGGTCAGCAAGCGGCTCAGGTTGAACTTTCTCTTGTCCTTTTCCATCTCAGCATTGCCAAAGGCTCTCCTTCATCATCCTACTCATGTCCATGAGAAGGCAAACGCGCACTAGCTCACATAAATCATCTTAAACCGCACCACATCTCACCACAAGCTCACTTTAGACTCATCCGTGCACTCATGTCAGGATTAGTTCTGTGGACAGAGTAACTACGGAAACGTGTCTCAGCCTGTTCCTTTTTATCTATTCTCTCTTGAGGGTCCTTCAGCTATACGTTTTTAATCAACTCTTCTTCCATCATCTCTCCTGTCCTCCCTCTCTCCATTGCTCTGTGTTGGTCTGATTAGCCCCTTGTGTCCTCAGTGACTGACTGCAGCTGAAGTGAACTAGAACCAAAAAGGGCAGGAAGGAAGAACTTGCTCATATTCTCACAGTCCTGCACCCAACAAGTCCCACGCACACACACACACACACACACACATCTGCAGCTAAGAGAGGCAGAGAGACACGGTGAGAGAGAGAGAGAGAGAGAGAGAGAGAGAGAGAGAGAGAGAGAGAG